TTTTAGGGCAATTGGGTGCTCTCCGTTGAATTTGGGGGAACAATAACTCGAGCAACAAATGTTTACACATGCTTTGTCTTGCACATGATTTGGGATGAACTGCTTTAAACGGATATCAAGATCGCTAGTTCAGCTACGTACAAGTGAAGGAAAAAGAAAAGGTTTCTTTCTTTTCAATTTATATTTTCAGAAGGCATGGATCAACTAATGTTTAAGTCTAGCAGAAAAGAAATTAACTAGTCAAAAACAGAACTAAGATTGGTGTGCAATATTTTCGTGTCCGCTTTGAAAGTTATAAAAGGATTATCAGCAACATATAGCTCGGGCAATAGAAGGAAGATATCAACAACCTAACTAGAAGCAAACCAAACTGAAACTATTCAGGAGAAAGGCCCTAAAAAAGATCTACTCCGCAATGACAAATGTATATTCATAGGAAAAACCATCTCAGACCTGCCAACCCATTCAGTGAGCCTAAACGGATCTAATTATATCCAACCCAACGCTGAAATACTCAATCAAACCGCTGAAATATGAGCACGTTAGTTTTGGCATGCTACAGCTACACAACTTGGGATTTGCAAAAAGATAATGCAGACACTGTTGTATGTCTTGGCTCTGGCTTTTGACTTTCTAGGAATTCTTTTACGAATATTGGCTAATCGCAGCAGTTTTCTCAAGTCCACAATAGTGTGGAATGATAGAACGCATGTTCCATCCACTCTCCATATACCCCAATGTTATTAACTCAACAAAACGACGCCTTGATTAAACTTCCACATAAACTGATTACAATAGAAAATGCAAAGGATATAGTCATAAACTAAGTAAATAGCAACAGAAAGAAAGGAGATGAGGAGACAGAGTCACAGAGAGAAATATACGAGGGAGAGAGACCACGAGAGGAGAGTTTCACAGGTGACTAGTAAACGAGGAATACTAGTACGGAATAGAGGCAGCTAAAGCCATAATTGATGACTCGTAGTTGATTATTGTGTTCTAAGATCAAAAGTAGCACAACGTACTGAGGTGAATGATTCTATCCGGAATTTAAGATTTTGATTTGGCAATGACTTTCATAGTGGTAGGCAGGGGTGTTCATAAAAACCCGAAAAATCGAACCAAACCGAAAACCAAATCAAACCGACCAAAAAAACCGATACTTTTTGGTTTGGTTTGGTTTTGGTTTTGAATTTTAAAAAGGGAAATTCTCGTTCCTATACCATATAGGAAACTATATTACCAAATATGTTCATAGTTTGCATATTACCCTTCATGCTAATAGTATTTCTACAAAATATAGACCATGCATTAAATAAGGAATCATTGTAGTTGTAGGCTTCCTTATTTAGACGCGCTAAAATTGGAGGATTAAATATTCTTCCAGATCTTCCAAACGCAAATCACGCACATTAATCTTCTTCGTCAGTTTCGTTTCAAATTTAGCGTCTCTACATCAAACGCAATTATTCTTCTACAATTCAAAACGAATTGATTATTCTTCTACAATTCAAAAACGAATTGATTATTCTTCTACAATTCACAAATCAAAAATGACTAAATCTTCTGCAATTCTTCTACATCAAACACAATTATGTTCAAATTTCAGTAATACAAAGCAAAGGAAAAGAGAGCAGCAATTCCACCATTGACAGTCATAAAAAGCTTTGAATTCAAATTGGGTTTTCAAAAATCATTATTTGTTTGGATTGGGTGTTGTTGCAAATAATTGGGAATATGGTTTGGAGTTTATATCTCAATTTTGAGGGGTTTTGGTGAAGGAAGAAGAAGAAGAAGAAGAAGAAGAAGAAGAAGAAGAAGAAGAAGAAGAAGAAGAAGAAGAAGACATGACATACATTATATTGCAGAAATTGTAGAAATATTGTAGTTAAATTGTAGAAAAATTATATTCTGTTGTTTATTTATTTTTCTTTTATTCATTTAATTATTGTATGAAAGTTGAACAACATTGTATAAATTATATTTAAGTGGTATTATATTGTAGTTGTATATAACTTAGTAGAAATAATGTACGAAAATTGTAGATAATTTGTAGATAAGTTGTATAATATATAATTAGTTGCATGAAAATTATTTTTAGTATGTATAAATCAGATACAAAATATACAAAAGACATATTGTATAAAATTTGTATGTAAGTTTTATGTTATTGTAGTTGTATTTCACTGGGTGGAAATAATGTGTGAAAGTTGTAGAAAATTGTAGATAAGTTGTATTCCTATATAACGGGAGATGTTGGCATATCAAGTAACTTTAGTGTTCCAGACGAACATGCATGAAAATAAAGATAAATTCTGTTATGAACAGTTTGTAGATATTTTGTAGAAACATTGAAATTCTGTATTTTCATATTAATTTTTCAAATGATATGTAGTTTTGTTGTAGATTAAATGTATAAAACAAGCCATTGTGAGTCTTATTTGACTCATTCCTCGCATTTAACCTATTCTACAAATTCACGCCTCTTTAAATACAATATAACCATACTTTCTTGAATTTAAAGGTATAATAATATATATAACTTAAAAACCGTCTTCTCCTCTGCACAAGTTAGCTCCAAAACAGACGAAGTGGAACAACAAGCTCCCATCAAAACTTTTAACACAAAAACACAAAAGCTCAAAAATAAATAAACAGTCTACAATTTATCTACAATTGCTGCAATATAATGTATGTCATGTCTCCTCCTCCTCCAATTGCTGCAATATAATGTATGTCATGTCTCCTCCTCCTCCTCCAATTGCTGCAATATAATGTATGTCATGTCTCCTCCTCCTTCTCAATCTGAAATTTAGCCAAAACCAAGTCTAATCTTCACCAAAACCCCTCAAAATTGAGATATAAACTCCAAACCATATTCCCAATTATTTACAACAACACCTAATCCAAATAAATAATAATTTTTGAAAACCCAAATTTGAATTCAAAGCTTTTTAATGGTTGTCAATGGTGGAATTGCTGCTCTCTTTTCCCTCCCTCTTATATTACCGAAGGAACCCGAAATCATAACCATCAAAAGTTATTGCTGTGTATGAACTTTGAAGATTTGACTTCAATTTTGACTGGTTGTAGAAGAAAAAACCTAGATTTTGGACGTTAATGGTAGAAGGTTTCAATTGTTTTTCTGGTTTTAGCAGAGAGAATAATGGTTTNTCAAATCTTAAACATTGAGGGTAATATAGTTTCCTATATGGCATAGGAATGTAAAAATTCCTTTTAAAAACCGATCAAATTTGGTTTGGTTTTGGTTTTAATCACAAAATAACCGAAAAAAACCAAACCAAACCGACTAGAGTAGTTATTTCAAATTTATTATTACACATATATATATGTATATTTTTATACAAAGTTTCAAAAATTTTATGATGAATGTTAATCGTTTGTACTTTTAGTACAGTTCTTTACCTTTACATTCTAGTTTGATTGGTAATTTTCTTTTGTTAAGTTTAAGAATCCATTTCATGTTACAAAAATATATTTTTAATTGAGTCCTTAAATTATTCAACACCATTTGATTCAATTATCATCAATATATCTTAGTAAATAATAGATTTCTCAAAGGGCAATTGATTTGATAGTGTTACATTGAAAATGTGGTCGCCGGAATATGTGTTTGGTAGTGTATGTCTTATATTTAAAAAAAAATCGACAAATAATCGAAAAAACCGAAAACCCAACATAAACCGAATCGAGAAAAAACCGACTTAATTAGTTTGATTTGGTTCTAATATTTGAAAAACCAACTTACTTGGCTTGATTTATTTTTAGGGAAAACCGAACCATAAACACCCCTAGTGGTAGGCTGACAACTATGTACGGTTCTATGCTGAAAGATACACTACTTAGGATCTAGATCCTAGGATCGCAACACCTTGAAATCCACTATCTCCAGTAATCAAAATGTGCAAGGAAATTTTAAAAATTGGAGGATAGGATTTGCATTGCCACCCCTGAAATCCTACAACAGATACCAACTTTGCTCCATTTACGAGTTACTGGAAAAAAAAAAGGTTTTCCATTTGAATATGAAGCTCAACATTACAGAATCCAACATTTTATAACATATGAATAACATGGCTAATACGGTTCCAATACAATTTGTGTTAGCATGATCACCACGAAAGTCCTGTTCCAGTTGTCAACTATCCACGACCAGCCGACCACCAAAAGCACAGATGATCGATGAATAACACAACCAAATAGAAACTGACTTACAAAACTTGCTAATTTGTTTCCAAACTGATTTCTGATAAGATTATTCAGTTTTACTGAAAAATTGAAACAACCTTTGTCATGGATCAGGTTACCCTATAGGCCTGTACAAAAGCTTCCTTTTACGGAGAGAAAAATTTGGCACCACTGGGATGCCACCCTGTAGAAAGCTACAAAAGAACGGAAAAGGTTCCGATTTCCCCTACTTGTTGTGCTTAGTCGTGAAAAAGTTGTCAATGTTTTGACAAGTCCAATTTTTATTTTTATTTTTTGATAAAGTTGTTAAGCCCAAATTACCTATGACTTTTCCTAAAAATGTGTAAATATTACCAAAGGAACACATTAATTTGTTCATTAAGCATCATTTTATACATTCTTCTTGCTAACTGTAACATTATAGATGATTCCGTAGAACTTTCAAGGTCAATCAAAGTGGACGAGAGGGAACATTTTATTGGGGATGGATGAAACATTAAAAACAAGAAAATAGAATCCCTTAATATGATTCGATAAAATGCAGCAACCCACAAAATCTCCTACCAAAGTATATTCAGAATAGAAGCAATCAACCAGTCCATAAATGCTACCTACAAATGTCAATCGAGCCAGAGGACAAAATTCCATTGCACTTACACTTTGCAGAGTATAAGTGAACTAAGAATAGAATTTTTTTTTAAAAAAAAACAAAATTCAGTTATTCATATACCCAAATTTAGCTCTACTATAGTCAAGTTTGACAAGTAATTCAAAGCATGACACGTCCATAATTAAGGTATCTCAATCATTTAAACATATAGTTTCAAAGATACTAATTTGACAACCATGATATACGCTGAGCAATAGAGTCGAATTAAAAGAAAGCAGAGCCAAATATATATTCAAATACTGATTTCAACAAATAAAACATCTAAGAAAAAAGAAAATGGACCATACTATAAATCATTACTACAGGGGATCAAGTCCAATCAAGCTCAAAACAGATTACCTAACGGCCCAAATACGAGGGATAGGTCACCCCTGCTGACCCAATGCCAGAGGAATCTTTTGCAGGTGTAGTTACTGTTGTCATTGCTGCTGTTCCTCCAAATGAATGCTGCCCGATTTGCGCACTCGGGTAAGTCCCTAATCCCTGCAAAGCTGGTTGTGCACCATATCTACTACCTATAACGCCCGGATTAATGCTATTTAAACCATAACCAGCACCAATCCCTGCGAACGAAGGATTAAATCCCGATGCAGCTAAACCAGCCTGGCTTAATCCCAGCATAGGATTCACTCCAAAGCCCATGTTTTGCCCCATCAAAAGGGGCAACCCGTTCATACTCGCGCCACTCAATATCCCAGGACTCATTCCAAAACCATAATTCATACTATCAATTTGCTGTATAACATGATTTGCATTACTATTAGTAGCATTCTCCACCGAATCTGAACCAGCCCCAGCGGGTCCCACGGCTGCCAGTTGGCAAGAGGTATTACGATTCCCAATCTTCTTCTGGGGCTCCTTTAAAGCCCTTTTTGCCCCGACTCGGGTTTTGAATAGCACAAAGGCGTATCCTTTAGCTCTTTGGGTAACTTTATCAGTAATCAGTTTACACTCTTCTATTTCGCCGTAGGGTTCGAAGGCAGCGTGAAGTTGGTACAAAGTTGTGTCGTAGCCGAGTCCGTGAACAAAGATTTTACGGTGAGTCGGGTCGGTATCGGCTAGGGTTTTGACCCGAGAAAGAATTGATGGGTCGTTTGAAGCGGCCGTTTTAAATAGCTGGATTATTTGGTCTTTAGTGAAAGGTTCTAGAAGTTTCCGAACACTCTGTCGCTTTGTCGCCTCGTCTTCGCTCTCTTCTTCTTCTTCAGAAGATGATGATTCGGATTCGGGTGCGGCCTCGGGTTCGTATTCAGATTCTTCTTCTTCTTCTTGTTCGGAGGATGAAGATTCAAGTTCAAGTTTACGTTTTTGTTCTTCAGGTTGGAATTTTGGGGTTGAAGTTGATGATTTTCGCTTCGTGCCCATTGAAGAAAAGTGGAGATATGGAGCTCAGCTCAGTAGGGTTTTGTTTTCTGACCTGTGCTTTCGACAAATTCTGGTAGGTAATGTATATTAGCCTCTCTTATACTCTTTTCTTATTTTTACTTTTTCCTTAAGTAAATTTCAGTTTCACCCCTAACTTCTAAGAGTTCGAAAATAACAAAACCCTTCACCTTTTGAATAGGAACTTTAACCTAGACCTGTTAGTCTGGCCGGGCTTACCCGTTTTCAACCCGCTTCAGTCCGGGTCAGCCTATTGTTGTAGCTTATAGGTGTGGGCTGAGACAGATTGGGCGGGGGCAGATTTTAGACGAACACATTTTGGATACCGGTGCACCGGAACCCACTAAGCTCGCTAACCCGTTAACGGGGCTGCAGCCCGGTATCCGTTACATTTTTTTTAAAATTTTTTTTGGACCGTTGTCAATGGTCAAATTCAGAAATGACCGTTTGGGAATGGCCAGATTTTGCACAAATGGCTATTTCGGCCTCCCCCATTAAAAAAGTAGCCCTCCCATCCCTAATAATTAAAAAATTACAATTTTAACCTTTTAAAACCTATAAATAACCCCCCTTCTTCTTCATTTTTTCTCACAATTCACTCTCTTACTACTCTAATTCTCTCTTGATATTATGGATTATTGTTCTTAAATTCTCAATTACTTATTATTTCGAGTTTCATCAAATATTTAGTTTAGCCATTACAAAATTATTATTATTATTATTATTATCAAATATCAAGTATTCAAGTGAAGTGTGGTATCAACTATTAAGTTTCGGTCTATCAATTGAAGTTTGATTTTTTATATCAAAATTAGTGCGGCATCCGGAATCCTGATACACTTGTTCCCTCTCTTTCTCTTATTTGGTGTACACTTATTTTATTATTTAGAATTATTAATTTAATTTCTTAATTTAATTTACATAAAGGATTTACTTAGAGCAGCCAAAAAAGTGTGCACTAGTAGAGGTGGTAGTAAGAAAACTTCCAAAAGATCAAGAGGCGGTGTTGGTTCTTCAAGTAGCTTTACACATATTTCTGAAAGTTCACCTGAAAATTTAAATGTAGATTATGAGCGAATGCAAGAAAATTATGGTATAGATGATGATTTAGACGATATTTGAGATGATATTCAATTACCCGATAATCTTGAAACACCACCACCTACACCTGGTAATGCTAGTCAACTCAAAATATTAGGAGTGGAACAAGTAAGTCTCCCCTCCCTATTAAGAAGAATCGAAGATTAAGAAGTAAGTGTTGGAATTTTTTTGACAGACTAGAATATTAAATTTTTTTATGTAAAATGTAGAATTTCTAATGAACTTTATAAACATGAGCCCGGTAAGGGTGGGGGAACGGGTCAACTTCGTAGGCATACAGAAGAGCTCCACCCTCTTGATTCGAGAGTAGATGAGGGAGATGGGCAACAAAAACTTAACCCGAGTACTGGGGGTTAATGGGTAAATACGATATTAAGAAAGATCAGGAAGAATTAGCTAAAATGATTGTTTTAAGTTGTTTATCTTTTAGTTTTGCTTCTTCACCGTATCTTGTTACTTATATTCAAAGAATTTATAACCCTTTGTTTAAATGTATTCCTAGAAGTACTTGTAGAGCTGATATCTTTAGGCTTTTTGGACAATATCAAACATATATACGTTATTTGTTCGTCAATCTTTCTTGTAGAGTTTCCCTTACTTCTGATATTGGTCGTGATGTAAATGAAAATGATTATTTGACTGTTACATGCCATTGGATAGATGGTAATTTTTGTATGCAAAAACATATTATTGCTTTTTAAATATGATGGAGATCAAAGTCATACTGGTGCATTTATAAGTAATACGATCCATAAAGTTGCTATATTTTATAATCTTGCAGAAATTTTTTTGTGTATATCATTTGATAATGCTTTTAACAATAATGCTGCTATTACAATATTAAAATTGCATCTACACCCACCACTTTCTGAAATATTTCATGTTAGATGTGCATGTCATATTTATAACTTGATTGTGAAGAGTGGCCTTGAATTATTTAGAGATGAAATCACTTTAGTTAGGAGAGTTGTTGTAATTGTAAAGATTTTAAATCAATTTATTATCATATTTTATTATATAAATAATCATTAATTGCATCACAAATTATGATGCTTTTATCATCTAACTTCATTATTTATATCCATATTAATTTTTAAATATTTTTGGTGCATTTATTATAATTACATTTATATTTTAAGGCTAAAATTGCACATTTTGCAATAATAGCCCATATACACTTATAACTACTTTATTTATGCAAAACATAATTTTTTATATTTTTATAGTATTGAATAATTGTTTCTAACCATTTTTATGCACAAATAATATTTTTATTATTTTATTTATCATTTTAACAAATTATTTTATTAACTAATAATGGGTATTTAATTAATAGCCCTAAATCCCTCCTATTTTCTGACCTAGGCTACCCAAACCAGCCCAAATACCCGCCCCGACACCTAAAAGGCCTAACCCAATAACCCCAGCCCAAAACCAATGACCCAATTACTCCAACCTGGTCGCGACCCATTTAACCAACCCCTCCCCTCTCCCGCTCACTTGCTAAATCCTGGCCGTTGATCTCCTAAGATCAACGACCCCTGTTAACCTACCCCTTTTAATATTAACCTTCAAACCCTAATCCCCCCATTACCTCTCACCCACTATCACCAAACTCTCTCGACTCCCTCCCTTATGAAGAATCTTAACCCTAGCCGTCACACCCCAAATCCCCTCTCCTAATCCCTCTTCTAATGGGATTTCCTTCCTATTTACTTACCATATCTGTATATTTTTGCTACTGGTTGATTCTCTATGGTATCACTTAGTACTTGCCTAAACATGGCAAGTACTACTGCTATGATTCTGTCTATTTCTTGAATCTGGATGATATTCTGTCTACACACTTTTATTCTATACCGTGTGAGTGTGATTCTGTCTATATTTTGATTATTCTGACTTACCCTAAAACTATAGTTCACAGATTTTCTTCAAAACGAACCATAATTGGTTCGAGTCCTTCATTTTGGCTGTTTTCTTGTCTATATTCATCCTATTATGTGTGAGTTTTATTTTCCTTGTTTAGATTATGCTGATTTCTTTTCACTTGCCTTAAGAGTTGAAATTTTCAGATCTTGTTTTCTTAATCATTTCGACTCACTGATTATGGTGCTATTTGTGTCTCTATTCATCTTTGTGTGTGAATATTCTATCAATATTTTGTTTTCCTAAAATTAGGGTTTGCTTATTTCCTTTTCCCTAAATCCGATTTTATTTGATGATACTTCCTTATTTATTTGCTCGATCTCTGTCACTATATAAACCCCTCCCCTTTCCCCTTTAGGACAGACCTAGAATCACTGTAATCTCACTGAGAAACTTAAGATTTGGCTATGTGTTCTCTTTGCTGTCTCGTTCTATCTCTGGGTTTGGCCGGCTGAAAGCCAAGACCAAATATTCTGGGTTATTGACTATTGTAGTATTATTCTTGCTTTCCCCTCCTAACTGGTGAGTTACTGTATCTTTGCCATTTTATTCTTATGCATTTGTGACCTGTGTCTAGGATCCAATGTGTTTAAAGTTTATTTTTGAGCATGATTCTGTTAATTCCATGCTTGTTCGAGTCCCTTTAGTTCTCTAATTAACACTGTTAGTTTTGAGACTGTTTGTTATGAATAATATGAATCCTCTTAGGTGTTTAGCTTAATACCTTCAAATTTATTTCCTGTATGCAGTCTTGTTAATTTTGCACTTGTCTTGAACTTTTAGTAATCTCTTAGGGTAACACTAGAATATCTATAAGTTCACTTGTTCTAAGTTTTTCTTGATATGTTTGATCAGTGCTGAGTCCTTTCCTGTCACTTATGTGCCTTGATAATGTGTTTTCTAGCATGTCTTTAATCCATACTCTTTCAAGTAATTGCTTAACTCTAGGGTACTTATCAAATTTATGCTTTCTTGCTATGTTTAAATACTATTTGTTAGTAAGCATAACTTGTCCTTAATACCAGCATGTACACTTATCCTAATTAGACCTTTCAGGCTTTAACTTATTAAGTACTATGCATTTGTACATGAAGAACTTTGCAAATCTTGCCAACTTGTTTTCTTAGATCTTTCAATGTAATTCTACATATGTGTTCGAGTCTTGTTGTCCACTACCTTGTGTTCTGAACTCTGTTATGTTTTCTTCCTAAAATCAAGTAGGTCATTTTAAAAATCCGCCCCTTAGCCATTGCCTCCTTTTATGTGCTGCTTATGCTATCATGAATCCCCATTATTAGGTCCTTTAGGTTCTGTCCTTGACCTCCCCAGTGTGAGACCCTTGTGAACTCTAACACACTCGGGTTTGGTTCCTAATCTCCTTTGAACTGTTTCTAAGCATTTTTTCTCTAGTGAGAGCACTGCCCTGGGTTCTCGAAGCCCTTGGGAACTCTAACACACTAGATATTTGGGTTCTATGCGCTATGGGTGAATTATTCACCACTGGTTATTGTGTATCTATGAAAATGAGCTTTGGAGATGTTATGGGTTGAAGGCCTGGATTGTCCATGTGTATTTGGGCTTGTTGTTGGCTCTTGATAGTTTTATTTATTCTGAAATTCATTCATTAACTTGGTCTGTATTAATTATGTAATAACAATTCTGGGGTATTTAGTAAAATTGGGAAGGGCTTCTTATTTTCATTTGCAAAGTCGGTAGAAATCCTGTATATAAGGTCTTTATTTGTGCTGTTGATTCTGCTTATAAGTTCCATATTATATTATTGTTTGTTAGAAATCCTACATATAGGTCCTATATTATGTTTATATGCTAGAAATCCTGCCTATAGGACTAACGCTGTGATCTGTTAGAAATCCTACCTTTAGGTGTATCAATTTGCCCAATAATTTTGTGTTAGCAACCATGCCCATAGCATCAATACTTGGCTTAATCATGTGTGCAAATTATTTCTTGCATACTAGTTAATTATAGAAACTATGTGTACATGGTTAAAATTAGTTTAATTCTAGAAATCATGCCTATAGTATT